CATCCTCACCCTCACTCCCACATTCACCCCTAGAATTCAGAATTTTAGAAAATTCTGAACAAGTAAAGTTCAACTTTACATACATGTAAAGTTCATAATTCTAAAATTCTTAATTCTGCAGATAATAGCAATGTTTGAACTTTACATTTTGTAATTGTAATCGCGCACGTCTGTGTAGAACCCCATAAAATTGTATGCTCTTTCATTCTAGATACCTTTCGAGAAGCTCTGAAATGGGGCCGATCCTCGTTCTTATTGCACCCCGTCCTTTGTGAAGGAAGTTTAGCGCTTATCAACAGTAAGACCTAAAGACTGTAGAACTAGCATTGTTGTCCAGCAAGTATAGTCAAGCTAACCCATGTGGAAAATTTTTTCCTTTTCCCGGCGCTCACTGGCCTCCGATTGATCCTCTTTTTCCTCTTTTTGATCCTCTTTTCAAGTCGGTTTTCCTCTTTTTTCTAAGAATATTAAAGAATAACATCGAAATCTGAAAAAAACAAATAGAAATTATCTTGAAGGAACACATTATACAGAGATAACTTTTTTGGAGATTCTCTATGTTATAAACTGAACTTATTTCACTGTATATAAGTATTGCCCATTAAAAAAATGATTTTTTGATTTTTTTGGACCATTGTTTGAATAAGCTTTCGCAGGAATGAGATAGAGACCTGCAGTTTTCACCATTCGAAAGAAGAGACCTGGAGACATGTTTTCATAACCAAAGTTGTTTTCAAAAGAGTTTTCTGAAATAGGTTTTCTAGGAGAACTTTCAAAAACTAGGCCATCTGTAAAGATTTTCCAATAGGATCGTATCGATTCTTTTCATGGGCTGATAACTCGAGGTGTCCTCTCCTAAATGAGACTAAAGTGAGCCCTTGATTTTCCGTGGTTCGGACGTTGTATCGGATTTCCTATGAGTCCAGCGACTGGCACCCGGTGACTGTTGGTAGCCTTAGAGCCTATGATGGACTATAGGTAACCGACCAAACTGAGTTTCGTGGAAATTTTTGTTTTTAGAAACGTTTTAAAGATCTAGCGAAGAGCGAGTTTTACGAAAATTAGCGTTTTCACCTAATACTAAAAAATTCACTATTCAGTGAAAAACATCAGAAGAGGCTCAAAACCTCAGGATATGATTAAGGTTGTTCGGCAAACGTGATTATAAGTTCGAAAAAATCGAAAGGATATTCTGGTTAATAGATTTTCCAGAAACCCTTAGTCGCTGATTGAAAGGTGTATATATCCTGTTTTGTTTAGGAACAACTGTATTTTAGTATTGATTCCTTTCTGACTTATTATTTCAGACTTGATTTATATGATTTTGGGCGAAAAACTTCAATTTTTCAGTAGAACGGGAATTTCATACAGACACGTGATGTTCGATAAGTTGGGTTTTGACCCAAAATGACTTGTCACGGCGGTTTTCGGGCTGAAAAATCCATTGCTTTTATTTTACTTCAAGTCCTCTTTAAAAAAATCACGAATCCTCTTTCATTCCTCTTTTTTCAAAAGATTGCAATTGGAGGCCAGGGCACTCATCACGCGTGGGATAGGGTGTCCAGCCGCTTCCACATGTAGAAATCCTGGACATCATGCGTTACCATGCCTGAATAAACCACGCCTGAATAAACCATGCCTGAATAAACCATGTGTTTTAATGCATGGAAGTATCCTGTCAATGTATGGATCCACATGGGAACCCATGCCAAGACACGCATGGATACACATGGATATGCATACCTATTTTACTGGCCGTGTAAAATCACACACAATATCATGTATTACTTTTAGTTCATCCAAAGGACTAGTAGTTTTTAACAAAATCAAATTTACAATTAAACTTTCAAAGTACTGCAGCATTTTTTTCATATTCTCACACTCTAAGAAATAATGCTTAAATGCCTCGCTCTCATCGCACTTTTACAAAATCTCACGCTACAAAACGGAGCGTCGGGGTGTCCTCTCCAAAATGAGAGTAAAGTGAACCCTTGATTTTCCGTGATTCGGACGTTGTATTGGATTTCGTATGAGTCCAGCGACTGGCACCCGGTGTCTATTGGTAGCCTTAGAGTCTATGATGGACTATACGTAACCGACTATCGTCAAAAAAAAGAACACGGTCTTAGTTATCTCATTAATGACTGAAAATGCCTCATAAACGTCTGAGTAATGATCTAAAAATGAGCATCAATGAATGATCATTTTTACGTCGTAAAAGAAATGGTCTAAAATACGACCGAATAATGAGACCAACATTCGGGACCAACAGATGAGACCTAATAAATCTTTTTCATCGATAGAACTATCAACAGATTTCAGTATTAAACTAAAGCTTTTGCTAATACCGCGCGGTGAGCGATTAGTATAGTTAACACCCGTACCAAATATTTGTTGAGGACAGTTATTTAGTAAAATTTGTTCAGAAGAACTATCAGCTGGAAATAACAGTAATTCTTTTTAATTATTGAACCGGCAGGTTGTGTCATACTTGTGTGGACTATTTAATTCGATTAATTTTTGTTTAATAATATTCATTGGAGGCACACTATCAATGAATGAGAAAATAACTGGGGCAAATGGTTCTCGATCTTGTTGTATAATATTTTTCGCTGGTAGCAACTGTATGAACTCGGTAAGAGTCACACTTGACCAAAAAGTGCAATTCACTGAGATATGCCACCACTTTTTTTAGATCTAATCAAAACTCTAATATGGACATGACATATTAGAGATTCAGGAAGCACTGTGAGAGAAAAGTTCACAAGTAACATCATACCGCTCCTACTATTTCTTTTTTTCGTGATGTGCGCTGGAAATTGTCACAATAAGAAAAACTGGTACGTCTCAGGTACTTCAAAGCTCAGTTTATTTAATTTGATAGTAAGTTGATTACCAATCAAGTACCTGGCGTTGTTGTTAAAGATGCAGGCCTCTTTCCTCCAAGCTTTTTTACAGGTACGAATGATACTACTCCAACTTTGACAGGTGTATTAGCTCTTTCTATAATGGGCAGTGTTTGATGTTGACTTTCACTCGAGCGTAGTGGAATAAATGCTACTTACTGTCTTGTTTGAGTTTTACTAACGATTAACTGATTTAACTGACTCGTTGTTTGGGATACGGCTAATGCTGGTGATATGATAGATTTTGGTTTGCGTTTATTTTTTAGTGATTTTGCTGGTGCGGTTGGTGTCACTGCGAGGGTGTCTGCTTGTACATCAGCAGTATTCGGCGTTTGCGTTGATTCATCGATGACCTGTATTTCGATTTTCTTGCCCCATATCCGAAATGGCAATGTCATGGCTACGGTACGTGCTTGAGCATTTTGGACAGTTGGATTAGGTACTGTGATAGTGGGTGCGATCATTTTGTCGATCCTGGTGTTATTATTAAACGCACCGCTTCCAAAATTTGGTTGATCATCTGACACAGCATGCACCAAATTATCATAGTCTCTGAACCAATGAAGCTCTTCAGTATTGTCGCCATTTATGCTTATTTTATGATCCCGACGAGTCAAATGTTGACCCATATTTTTATTTAGGCAAAATAATTACAAAACGAGCAGTGTTTCTTCTCTTTCTACAAATACAGTTACAAACATGAACTACACATAGAAAGTAATTTAATTAGCGATGTAGCTTTTAGTACTAGTAACATAGATCCCCAATACCGGATTCATTCCCGCATTGAATTTTATTCCGACCACGAATTCTAGCAAATAATACCAAAGACATTTTTCCAGATTTTTCAATTTTAAGCTTAAAGTATACTTTCTTTTGCCTGGTACTAGAACACCTAACCACAGCACTACACAAAAGAAAGTATTCTCGAAAACTGGAAATTTCAAAAATGTTAGTATACTATCCCCTCTTGGTTTGTCGAGAGTAACCTTTGTTATATGTAGTTCTTCATTGTAATTAAAATCAAGCTGTCGACGAATCAAGCACGAAATTGGTGTTGACAAAACAAGAATATCCAGTGATTTCTGGTACTTCAGACGGCAAAAATACGTTTTTCTTCGATCTTGGAAATAAGACGGAAGAAAAAAAGTTAGGCCGATACAGGAGTAAGACAAATAGTAAGATGGATTTCTTTTTAGAGTGTATACAAGAAGTTTTAGATAGAACAAATATCTATCGAAATTTTTTCCCATGAGTCAGCAAGACCGACTTTTTGAAAAAAGTGATTTTTTTCTGAAAACTTTCTTTTTCTTTAAATGTATCAGATATGAATAGAGAATGATAATTATTCATTAAAAAACGGTTAAGAACCAAACAATTTCGATAGTTCTAGTTTAGAATACTATAATGGAATATTTTGTATTCCGCCTGTATTCTGAAAGAATACAGCTTATATCAAAACAGAACACAAAAAACATATCAAAAAAATACTACTGATAACATCGAGTCGATGTCGATTGCACAGCTTCAATCGCTGTACAGAATATAGACACAGAACAGTGGATTTAGTTTTGCAGTTTACTGCAAAGTTGCGTTCATGTGTTCGAATCTGTATTCGTACAAAATTGCTTTTGTGTTTCGATAGTTTTATTTTAGAATACTATAATGGAATATTTTATATTCTGCTTGTATTCCGAAAGAACAAAACTTATATCAACCAAATTCTGATGTCCTCCTTCCAGCAGAGAAATGTATACCGTGCGGCGGCGATCTGAAACATGTTTTGTTATGATACGATAGATAGATTAGTTTAGTGGCTAATTTGGCAAATCTTTCATGATATTTTTCTAATGATCTTGACAGTAAAAATCGATTACTGTACAATAACTGCGACCTGATTCGACCTATTGTATACTCAAATAATCCTAAAAAGTATAATTATTAAAACCTGCTTTCAAATAACCCCTAAAATTTGCAATTTCTGTCGGCGCATTTTGTCTTTTCATAACAAACTCTCCAAAACAACTGTTCAATGACCGAAAATGATCAATTACATATTATCGGGCTTCGACTACACAATGGTTTTCTGTGGTTGATGCCGTGGCAAGTGAGACTTCGTGTATGATATTTTCAAAGAGTGAGAATAGTTTCAGCAATAATTTCTTTATTTTTAAAGACAGTCTCTGGAAAAACGCACCTTACGGTGCAAATTGTCTATTTTTACACTAAAAAAGTTAGAAGCGTACTGTACGAGATGGAATAAAAGGGCCATGGCAAATTTATGAGAAATTAGGACGTAAGTAAGAAAATCGAACAGAACCTGCTCAATGTAGCTCATAGTCAAGGGAAAGTCACTAAGCAAGGCGATGTGTTCTAGCGAACTGGAATATCTTGAATACATTCGCAAATATTGCCGGCATTGTGCCCGCAACCAAAATCCAAGGTTTCGAAAACTCTAAGGTGCAGAGCACTCATAATTTATTGATAAAAATTATTTTCTAATTAAGAAATTATTTTTCTATTTTTGCATGTCTTTGCACAAACAATATTGTCTGTCAAGAGAAATATTATCAGGTAGTTCACTCTCACCTCTAAAATGTGGTCCAGAAGTCCTGAAGTCACTTTTCTATTGAATTTTTGCCTACATTGACTTGTGTTTAAAAATTTAATATTTAACTTAAAGGATAGAGAATTTAATTCTCTAGGAACCGTCGATTTTATTTTGAGTCATCCTGTACAAATAAAAATACTAAAATGTTACATTATGAAAATTGATCACCTATCTAACTTAGTTCTACTTAGCCTATCTGACTAAAAAAGATTTATTAATCAAAATACAATACACTATTAAATTCAGCGCGAAAGCCAGTACAAAATCCCATACTTCATGTGGCAAAGTAAAATCCTTCTAAGTCAAGGTGGCTCTCGAAAGAGTTTCTCATGAAAGTTTCAAAGGAGTTCAGGAGGATCCATCTTTAGTAGCATCTAATATTATTTTACACTTTTAAAAGTAAATTTAGAACTTTATTTTCTGATGTATGTGATCTTGTAAAGTGAGAAATTCCGCATCTTCTGATATAACATGCATGGCTTTAAAGTTTGAGGGCAAAATGGCGATAATATGGATTTTCTACGTAAGTCAATCAATCTAGGGTTTTTCTTCTCGCAAAAAAGAATAATTATTTAACACAAATGGTGTCAGATAGTACAACATAAAATTCTGCATCTTTTGACGTTAAAATACTTAGGGCATACCAAAAGTAGTGAGGGAGGTACTTTATTTTCTTATGGAAAGCTTCAAAAAAATTTCTTTTTTAATGAACAGCTAGAGCGTCTTTCGCTCTATTTTCCTATGCTATTTGATGAATATTCAACTAATATTATAATAATAAAATTGCGATCAGTTTCTTTCGCATATGTGCTGGTAGCATGAATGCTCGTAAATACTTTTTGCATAACATTTGATAGCAACAAGATAGAGAACTGCGGTTTTCACCATTGGAAAGAGGAGATGAAGACAGATCGAACTGTATATTACTGATTTTTTTAATATGATTTCCGAAGTGTTTTTATTCAATTTTCTAACTGTCGGAAAAATTTTTGTTCATGAAAAAAAGAAAAAACAACAAAGTTGATAGAAAATCGTAGTAGAGGTTCGTCTAAAATACGTACTATCCCCAAATAATTAAATTTAAACATCTGAATCTTTCGCAGTTTGTAGATCTTCGATTAACGGTTTGAATGTGAGCCTGATTATTGAAAATTCACTGTAAACAACTTACAGGATAGGTTTGTCCTATAAAAGGTCAACTAAAAACCTTGCAAAAACCAGGTTAGAAAAATCAGTAATATATGGTTCGATGCATCTTCATTCCTTCTTTCGAACGGTGAAAACCGCAGTTCTCTATCTTGTTGCTATCGAAAGTTATTAAAAAAATACTCACGAGCATTCATGTTCATGCTACCAGCACATATGCGTATTTGAGTCTCCTTTCTCTATTTTTGAAATTTCTTCCGCACTAAAAGACATAAAACCAAAACTTTCAGCCGGAAACGACAACATCCCCGGTGTAGCTGTCAAACATCTTCCTCTGGTTTTTCTACCTATTATTTATTTTCTTTTTAATTCTCTCTGGGCGTCTGATACATTTCCTGACGTTTAGAAAACCCAAAAAATTCGAATGCTATTAAAAAAAGATAAAATCAAAACTGATCCAAGTAGTTACCGCCCAATAAGCCTTTTATGTAACTTATCTAAACTCTTTGAAAGTTTAATTGCGTTAAGATTGACTCATTGGTTAACATATAACAAAATAATCGAACAAAGCGGCTTTCGTAAAGGTCGATGTACAACTGACCAAATTTTGAACGTCATTCAACAAACTCAAACAGCTTTCAACAAAAGTCAACGTACGGCGGGACTTTTCATCGATTTCGAAAAAGCGTTTGACAAGATATGGCGTAATGCCCTCCTTTTTAAATTAAAAAGTAAAAACTGTCCGGACCGTCTTTTTAATATTTTACAGTCTTATTTCAAAAACAGAAAATATTTCATACAAATTTCGAATGTGTCATCTAAACTGTACAACTACCCTTACGAGACGCCGCAAGGAAGTATTCTTTCACCTTTTCTCTTCAACTTTTTCATTCACAATCTTCCTTCCTTGTGTTTCACTCTCGGCGTACGTCTTTCTCTATTCGCCGACGATATCGCTGCCTTTTGCGCTTGTTTTAATAGTGTACAGGGTGAGAAAATGTTACAACTTTTTTGTGATAAAATCTGTGAATATTGTAAACTTTGGCGTCTTCAAATAAGTTATGCCAAAACTGTATGCATATTTTGTACGAAATGCCCAGCCGCCAGAAACGCAAAATTGAATCTGTTAATGAATAACCATGTACTAGAGCAAGTAAAGCATTTTAAATATCTTGGTTTTATTTTGGATCAATGTATGTCGCTCTCTCATCATGTAGATGACGTGTGCCTGTTTGCCCGAAAGAGCCTCGGCGCTTTAAAAGTGTGTGTGGCAGGCGTTGGGAACTTTACCCTCACACTGCTGTGTTTGTATTTAACACATTCGTTCGTCCCCTCTTAACATACTTTTCTCCAACTCTTCAATGTATCTCGGACTCTAGTTGGGCCCAACTCCAACGTGTACAGAGTGCCGCGTTGAAAATCTGTTACCGCTTACCGCTCTACTCTCGATGTTCACATACTATCTTCAACTGAATTCTTAACTAAAGTTATTCTTAAACTAGCTACATCTTTCATAAAACAAGTTACTATAACCAATGAACTTGTTATTTTTATTGTCAACTTATATCTGATGCATGACCGTAAATTTGAAACAAATTCTTTCCGCGTGCGGTTGAATTCTATAAAAACCAACGTGTGCAGACTATTAGAATTATAGTCTAAAAATACGTTTGTGTCTAACGAGCGAGTGCAGCTTATCCCTTTATTTATATTTTTTATTGTATCCGACATACGAAAACTTTTCGTTTCACAACCTTTTGATACTTTTTTTTATAGAATTTTCATTTTATCTACACTGCAGTGCAAGCGAGCAACAGGCCCGGGCATTTCTCACGCAATAAATCATCATCATCATTCATATCTTTTCGAGTGTATTCAATTCTTTTTCAATGACACCATGAGAAAAGAAAGAGAAAAATGATTCAGTGAAAGGTTTCTCTAATAACCCACGCGATGAAAACACGCGTCATAACTTTTTTCTTTTCTTTCTTCTCTTCGCACTCAGATGCTTTACCAATATCTACTTCACATATACTGTGTACATACGCATGGCATCGTCAACAGCAAAGAAATCGCCCTGTGTCACATGTGGCAAAGCGGCAGGTCTCTTCACATGTCGTGGATGTGCAAAAGATTTTTGTATGCGTCACGTAAGCGAACATCGACAGACGCTGGGTAAACAGATGGATGAAGTCACTCTCGATCATGATCAACTCCGACATATGATTACTCAATGCACAGCGAATTCTCACTGCCATCCTCTTCTGAAACAAATCGATAAATGGGAACAACAATCGGTCGACAAGATCCATCAAGCGGCAGAAGATGCTCGACAACAACTATTAACTGTTGTAGGCAAGCACATGACTTATGTCACGGAAGCCTTGGAACAATTCAAACAACAGCTGAGCAAGGCTCGCGATGATGAGGAATATTTCGAGACAGATTTAGAAGAATGGAAGAAGAAACTTGATAGACTGAAGAATGACTTGACTGCACTGTCAACGATCAGCATTCTAGAAGATGATAATTTGACTCCATTCGTTTCCAAGATTATTGTTACTGAAGCTAGAGCGTTAGTCGACTTCTTCGAGCGACCGACTGGTGATATCCAAATGAAAGACAGTGGACAAGTCATCGTGCACGGTCAAACGTCCGCGCATGCAGCGGTGCGTGGCCGAGGTGAGTATTCATCTGGACAACATCGATTTCGCTTCAACATAGAACAGTTAGGTGCAACCAAGTGGGTCTTATTTGCGGTCGTGTCCAAAAATGCACCCATGCAGACAAATTCGTACAGCACTCCATCAACTTATGGTTGGGCCGGACAGGACCAAGTCTATATCAATGGTGTTCAGAGCAGCTATAAAAGTGATATGGAAATGAATGACACACTCGAGTTACTAGTTGATTGTGATCGACAAATGGTTCGTTTGACAAATGAACGAACAAAAAGTGCACACGAAATGAATGTGGATGTGGCCAAATGCTCTTTTCCATGGCAACTTAGTCTCAATCTTCATTATTCTAGCGATCGCGTTCGCATTTTGTCTGGATAATTGGATATATAAAGAGAAGCAGTATGGCACACTCAACGAGAGCTAACTGTTCCTCATTCAGCTGACATGTCTTAACTACATCCTCTGGTCTGTGTGACTTTCACACATCAAAAAATAAGATTTGAAAACATGAAAGATAATTTTGAGAATGACTCTCCAACCTAACATGTTCACTCGATCGTTGTCCAAATTGCTGACTTTGAGCATCGCGTGACCTGTCTCCTGGAACGTGTGATACGTCCGACGGTCGAAAGTGGTCGGAATCCCATCATCCGAAATCGTAGAATCCGGTCGTCGGAAATCGTAGGGGTTCTGTCGGATCTGATCCGGCTTCTTTGATCCGGGTTTGAGCATTGCGACCTGAAACATCTGACACGTACGCACAATAACGAGAAAAAGAGCAACGAGCAGAAACCCCATACACAAGAGCTAAATCCCAGTAAAAAATATGTGGAAGAAGGCAAAATCCCATTGCTTCTTTCAGATACGCGTTGTGTAATTTCACCACATCTTCGTTATACAGTTAGATAGATTCGAACACACCAGGCATGGGCGAGTCTGGACTGGAAAATTTTTTGGCGGACTCGGACTGGAGATTTTTTTGAAGGACTTGGACTCGAACTTGACTTTTTATATTTCGAGTCCGATCTACTCAAATTTTAACACAAATGAACAGAGAAAAATGAAACGCGAAATAACAACCCTTAACAATACTTTTTTTCTTGATTTGGAAATTTCTCTTTACAAAGTATGACAACAAACGTTCCACACAAACTTTTACGATTATTTCAGCATTTTCTCGTTGTTTTGTGAATACAAAAATTAAAGTATTTAGAAAATGATTGCATATCGTTTTTATTGCTACACTTCTGCTCCGATATAATCTCTGGACGCTATCTTCCTTTGGGTTGATACCCTTGTAACACAAGAGCGTTTTAAGAGACAGTCCGTGTGAATACCGACCACATCAGTCGGAGCTAAAATTTATCTTTTGTTCTTAGTATTCTAATTCGAAAGAGTTTATCGAAAAACTAAGAAATCCAAGATATCCCGCCTTCGTATAGCACTGTTCTTGACTTAGATGGACTTAACTTTTTAGTCATGTCCAGGCGGTCTATTTTTGGATGATCTCATTGTTTCTTTAATATCTCAGAAACAGCTTGATCCTTACGGTTCGTTCGCATCTCATATGAAAGAGAAATGTTTGCTCTACAAAATCACTGCAGAAAAGTACAGTAAAAGGCAGCCGATGGCGAAAACTTGAAAATTCGCTGTTTTTTCAACCCGCTTTTTTCCAGTATTTTGGACCTAGAAATCGCTAGTCCAGCTTAACCAAAACACAAATTCCGTTATTTTCTACAGCGGATAATTCTGGATCGATGATATATAAAGGAAAATTTTGAATCTCCCGGAGGATGTTTTTCTGAGACCTGCAACTTGAAGAGGAAATTGTGCATGTAACGCAATCTAAAACTGAACTGTATTCTCCCTGTTTATAAATATAAGTTACACATAGATATATGTGAGGTTATTCCTTTCAGAATCGTTTTGCATCCAATGGTTAATAGCCAAAGAAGAATGTAACTGTTACACACACTTTATTTCAGTAAATTAACATCTATATATAGTATATTTTAGCTACAGGAA